ATACCTGGATGAAGGAGGGGTGCAGGCTGTTCAACATCCGCAGGAGGCTACGGAGTGTTAAAGGAGATGACACCACTGAAAGCAGCAATGTCTTGTCATTGGTGACTCTTGTCAATTGTGTCATCTCTATAAACATTCTGTAGCCATCTGTAGATGTCAGACAACCTGCACTCCTCCTTCATCAAGAACTCAATGATGACACCTTGCTTCTGTTTAGAATCAATTATAAGGATATATTAGGCCAATGTCTTGTAATTGGTGACTCCTGTCAATAGTGTCATCTCTATAAACATTCTGTAACCTGTAGATATCAGACAGCCTGCACTCCTCATTCATCAACGCATTGCTTCTGTTTAGAATCAGTTATAAGGATATATGATAAGAGTGATATCTTGTCAATGGTGTCATCTCTATAAACATTATGTAGCCTTCTGTAGATGTCAGACAGTCTGCACTCCTCCTTCATCAAGAACTCAATGATGACACATTGCTTCTATTTAGAATCAATTATAGGGATATATATGGCCAATGTCTTGTAATTGGTGACTCCTGTTAATGGTGTCATCTCCATAAACATTCTGTAGTCTTCTGTGGATGCCAGACAGCCTGCACCCCTCCTTCATCAAGAACTCAATGATGACACCTTGCTTCTGTTTGGAATCAGTTATACGGATATATAAGGCCAATGTCTTGTAATTGGTGACTCCTGTCAATGGTGTCATCGCCATAAACATTCTGTAGCCTTCTGTAGCTTCATCAAGAACTCAATGATGACACATTGCTTCTGTTTAGAATCAATTATAGGGATATATGATAAGAGTGATATCTTGTCAATTGTGTCATCTCTATAAACATTCTGTAGCCTTCTGTAGATGTCAGATAGTCTGCTCTCTTCCTTCATCAAGAACTCAATGATGACACATTGCTTCTGTTTAGAATCAATTATAGGGATATATAAGGCCAATGTCTTGTCATTGGTGACTCCTGTCAATGGTGTCATCTCCATAAACATTCTGTAGTCTTCTGTGGATGTCAGACAGCCTGCACTCCATAACCTGGTATGGGTTATGACTAAGGCTTGTCAAGCCCAAACGCCGTACCAGTGATGTTTTTCCAATGGTCGATTTAATAAAATGTCGATTTTAGAACAATGGCGGTAGTGCGGATCGATTTCATTTAATTCTGGAACGGAAAAACAACTGTGGATCAGGCACCTGCCTAGTTCCTGGGATGAGCATTGGATGGGTAGTAGCACCTTCTTGTCTTTTCAATCCATGTAATGAGCCCAACAGATGCTGTTTTACTTTAGTTCAAATAATTTATTTTTACTGTTTTCTGTTATTTAGGATGAGAATCTCATTAAAATTGAAGTAAAAGTGGAAGCAGAAGAGCTCTATGAGAAAGGGGATGAGCCTTGTAAGAAGAAAATTCCCACAGAGATAGGCACAGGTAGTAAATTGTTTTGCTTGTTTTGTGATCCAGACTCCCCTACAAGACAGCACAGTCAGGTCCTGCACCTCCAGTAGAGTTAAGAGAGAAGTATGACATAAGCTTTTTTTTTTTTCAAAATAAATCTTAGAATAAGAATAAGCACTAATAGTGTAGTATGTGTAAGAAAACAATACCAGAGCTGCAGCAATCCCAATTTGTAAACGTTGCGGCCAGACGGCTGTGTAGTGTGGTGACGTAACGTAAAGCTCCACCAAGCGTCAGTTGACATCGTCAGGGGCATCTGGCCGGAACGTCTACACATCAGGATTGCTGCAGCTCTGGTATTGTTTTCTTGATGGCTATGCAATTCTTAACCATTGGGAGTATATTTGTCTAATATATTATTAATGGCTAATGGCAGTTCATGGCGCAGTCTCCTCGGCTCCACTCCAAGTCCGTATTACCGCCAATGAGTCATGCAAAGAATAAGTATTAATAGTGTAGTATGCCCAAAACTAAAACTTTACTATAAAATAAACAAATGCACTCACAATGGTTAAGAATTGCATAGTCATCAAGAAAACAATACCAGAGCTGCAGCAATCCCGATGTGTAGACATTCCAGCCAGACGCCCTTGACGACGTCAACTGATGACGAAACTCGCTGGGTGGAGCTTTATGTGGCGTCACCACGCCACACGGCCGACTGGCCGGAATATCTACACATCGGGATTGCTACAGCTCTGGTATTGTTTTCTTAGGCATACTACACTATTAGTGCTTATTCTTTGCATGACTCATTGGTGGTAATACGGAGTTGGAGTGGAGCCGAGGAGACTATCTCTGCACCATTACCCGGAGAATTGTGCGGGGTTAACCCCTAAAGCGCTGTTGGCATTTCTGATAAAAGAGCCCAATAGCTCTAGCAAGAGCTCTTGAATGTCTGTTGTTTTTCACGAAGATTAGAGAGGTGTTATCTTCCCCCCCTTTTTTTGATGCACTGAATGTGGTTGTAGTTGGACTTTTTTTTATGGACTTTTCACACCAATTAGCACTTTTTTGTATGAATTAATAAGCTTTTTTGGCCATAGTTCTCTTGTGGGTCTCAGGAGTACACTTTTGTTCTACTTTGACCCTGAGACAACTGATAATGGGATATTTCCCACTATCCGCTGACGAGGCAGAACCTTTTCAGGCTCTGGATGGATCCTGATAATATTGTCACTGCTCTCCACTCTGAGCGTGTGAAATCTCAGTTCTTGGTCTTAGAGCCAACGTGGGACAGCTGCACATCACACCGATGCTGTAGCATTGAGGTGACTATGGATGTTTTTGTTTTTTTATATAACCCTATAGTTCTCCTTTAAGCAGTACACCTTGGTCATGGGTCCATCCTCAGGCTGCTGATTGGACATTGATGAAGTCACCCCTCACTTTTTCTCTTGTGTAAAGGCAGCCATACAAGGATCAAAATTTATCAGGTTCAATTGGGAATGGCCGAAATGCGATCCATGTATGGACAGGCAGGTTGTACAGAAGTCAGTCTACCAACTAGCCTGTTGGGTTTTTCCTGAAGGATCCATGCCATCGACTATAGCCAGCAGCACTGATCAGTGGCTTCTGATGGTAGGAAAGGCTTCCCTCCATCAGGTCACAATACCACAGCAGGAGTGATTCCCCCATCTACATCGAATCTGTTCAAAGTCCAAATTTTATAGCTTTTGGAAAAAAGGGGACGGAGAGCTGAAATTACACTCTGCAGAGCACAGTGAGTAGAGCTAATTGGATGGAAGGGATACACCCCCTTCACACAGGAACATACAGTGAAAGAAATGCATATTTGATCCCCTGCTGATTTTGAATGTCCGCCCACTCACAAAGAAATGATCGGTCTAAAAATTGAATGTTTGGTGTATTGTAACACTGAGAGACAGAATAGCAACAAAAAATTAAGCAGAAATGCATGTCTAACAAATGATGACTGATTTGCATGTTCATGAGGGAAATAAGTATTTGATCCCCTATCATTCAGCAGGATTTCTGGCTACCAGGTGTCTTTCATACAGGTAAAAGCTGAGATTAGAAGCAGTCTCTTAAAGGGAGTGCTGCTAATCTCATTTTGTTACCTATATAAAAGACACCTGTCCACAGGAGCAAACAATCAGATTCCAAACTCTCCACCATGGCAAAGACCTGTCCAAGGATGTCAGTGACAAGATTGTAGACCTACACAAGGTTGGACTGGGCTACCAAACTATCGCCGAGCAGCTTGTTGAGAAGGTGACAACAGTTGGTGCAATCATTCACAAATGGAAGAAACACAAAACAACTGTCAGTCTCCCTAGGTCTGGTGCACCATGCAAGATCTCACCTCATGGAGTGTCAATGATCATGAGAACAGTGAGGAATCATCCCAGAACTACATGTGAGGATCTTGTCAATGATCTCCAGGCAGCTGGGACCACAGTCACCAAGAAAACAATTGGTAACACACTATGCCGACAAGGATTGAAATCCTGTAGTGCCCGCAAGGTCCCTCTGCTCAAGAAAGCACATGTCCAGGCCCGTCTGAGGTTTGCCACTGAACATCTGAATGATGCAGAGGAGGACTGGTTGAAAGTATTGTGGTCAGATGAGACCAAAATAGAGCTCTTTGGCATCAACTCAACTCGCCGTGTTTGGAGGAGGAGGAATGCTGCCTATGACCCCAAGAACACCATCCCAACTGTCAAACGTGCTGGTGGAAACATTCTGCTTTGGGGGTGTTTTTCTGCTAAGGGGACAGGACAACTGCACCTCATCAAAGGAACGATGGACGGGGCAATGTACCATCAAATCTTGGGTGAGAATCTTCTTCCCTCAGCCAGGGCATTAAAAATGGGTCGTGGATGGGTGTTCCAGCATGACAATGACCCAAAACACACGGCCAAGGCAAGGAGTGGCTCAAGAAGAAGCACATTAAGGTCCTGGAGTGGCCAGTCTCCAGACCTTAATTCGATTGAAGATTTGTGGAGGGAGCTGAAAGTTCAAGTTACCAAACGTCAACCACCAAACCTTAATGACTTGGAGAGGATCTGCCTAGAGGAGTGGGCCAAAATCCCTCCTGAGCTGTGTGCGAACCTGGTGGCCAACTCCAGGAAACGTCTGACCTCTGTGATTGCCAACAAGGGATTTGCCACCAAGTACTAAGTCATGTTTTGTGAAGGGAATCAAATACTTATTTCTCTCATGAACATGCAAATCAGTCATCATTTGTTAGACATGCATTTCTGCTGAATTTTTTGTTGCTATTCTGTCTCTGTGTTACAATACACCTACCATTTCGATTTTTAGATCGATCATTTCTCTTTGAGTGGGCAAACATTCAACATCAGCAGGGAATCAAATACTTATTTCCTTCACTGTATATACGTGATTTTTCATTTCCGGGTAGGGGTCACACGCGCCGCCCTTGGCGGCTGTCGATCACCGGGTCCTCACCAAGGACAAAAAACAATGTTTAGCTATTAACAGTGTTTGTTATTTCTTATTCACCAGATGGACGATATAGAGCGTACAGAAAGCATCCTATGGTGTTGTCAGATGAAGACGTAGAAGATGATGTCACCTCTAGTTCTTCAGAAGAAGACCCCGTTACCCCAGATGTCCATCGAGCACTTCCTAGCAAGGATCCATCAAGTGATCCCAGTACACGTGTCTGCAGTTTTCCTAAATGCCCCATCGCTCGTCATACACCTCATGGAGGGAGGGATTCCTTCCAGAGTTCTAAGCCTGGCAAATGTTTTACCAAGAAAAGAGAACGGACCTCACCAAAGCCAGCTCGGTCTGAGGGGAAGACCTATTCCTGTTCTGTGTGTGGGAAACGTTTTAACAGAAAAGGAAATCTTATGTCCCATCAGAGAACTCACTCTGGAGAGAAGCCCTTCTCCTGCTCCGAATGTGGGAAATGTTTTGCTTGGAAGGTCCAGCTTGTCCGACACCAGACCACCCACCCGCTGGTGAATCCGCTCTCCTGTCCTGACTGCGGTGAATGTTTTACAGAAAGAGAAACCCTCATCTCACATAAGAAAACGCACACTATGGAGAAACCCTACTCTTGCCCTGAATGCGGCAAATGTTTTTCCTGGAAGGACCAACTCGTCAGGCACCTGAAAATCCACACAGGGGAAAAACCGTATTCCTGCTCTGAGTGTGGGAAGTGTTTTCCACGGATCTCGGCTCTTAATAGACATAAGAAAGTCCACACGGGCCAGAGACCATATTCTTGTTTGGACTGTGGAATGTCGTTTACGGAACGTTCGTACCTTGTCATTCACGAGAGGACCCACACGTCGGAGAAGCCATTTTCCTGCTCAGAATGTGGCAAAAGGTTTAACCGGACAGGCAATCTTTTTGCGCACCAGAGGACTCACACGGGGGTGAAACCCTATTCCTGCTCTGAATGCGGCGAACATTTTACTCAGAAGTCAACTCTTATCAGACATGAGAAGGTTCACACGGGAGAGAAGCCATATTCATGTTCGGAGTGCGGCAAATGTTTTGCTCAGAAGGGAACACTTGTATTACATGAAAGGACACACACTGGGGAATGCCCGTATGCCTGTTCCCAGTGCGGAAAGCGGTTTTCAAGGAGAGACTACCTCATTTCTCATCTTGTATTCCATGACAAAAACAGAATTAAAAATTGAAAGAACTTTTTTTTCCCAAAATACAATTTTTTATACATCTTTAAAAGTTTCAATGAATTAGAAGTTTTAAGTTGAGTGGGGAAAAGTTAGAACAACTATTAGGTTTATATTGACTCCATTGTGCCTATGGAGGAGCTTTCCCCTCACTTCCTGTGCTGGTGACTCCAGAACAGGAAGTCAAGTTTACTGATGTCACCAAGTTGCAATAAATTCAAGAACTCTAACCTACCCTCTGTACTATAAAAAACTGGTTTTGCCTTCTGTCTCTGCCTTCAATTATTACAGAAGCAAAAAAAAGAGAGGGCGCACAAGCCTTGCGTATTACCTAATAAATCAGGGGTCTCTAAACTTTTCACACAAAGGGCCATTTTATTGTCCTTCAGACTATCGAGGGCCAGATTGTGGCCAGTGGGGGTAGAAAATGTCCTGGGCACAGCATTGGTGGTCAGATGCAGTAGTGCCCCATAATTGGTATTAGTGGGATGAATAATGCCCCATCATTGGTGTATGCAGTGGTGTATTTAGGTTTTGTGCTGCCCTAGGCAACACAAAAATTGGCATCCCCCCCTCCCCCACAGAAAGAGCCTGACATTGACCAAGAACACCCCTGCCCTCCACCCGAGCCTTCCACTACCACTGCCCCCCCATACACCAGCCACCATGACGAGAGAGAGAGCAAGACACTTGCCTTCACAGCTCTGGACATCCCTGGGAACGAGAGTCGGGCTGTGCATACACCGTCATGAAACCCACAGCATCTCTCGGAACCCACCAGGTCCCCTTGCCATGTGTGTCCCTTCTTCCAAGGGGCAGTGCTGCCCCCCCCTGAAAAATGCTGCCCTAGGCAAATGCCTTGTGGTAAATACACCTCAGGGTGTCAGGGCAGGAATTATGCCCCAATGTTGGTGCTAGAGGAACAGTGCCCCAAGGGCCAGATAAAGGCTAGCAAAGGGCCACATTCGGCTCTTGGGCCGCAGTTTGGAGACCACTGTAATAAACCATTTATTGATAAAGGCAAAATGGTTATTCCCCCCTTCATCAGAGCCTTTTTTTTTGGCTCTGATGAAGAGGGGATTCCCTTTGAAATGCGTAAGCTGAATAGATCCAGGTTGATGTCTTCCCGAGATAAGTGCAATGGACCAAGCAATATGGTCTTTGCTAATTTTTTTTTCCATAATAAATTTTTATTGGGTTTTACAAATATAGTTACAACAACAAAAAAAAAACAAAAATAGGACAGTGGAAAGCTACACAATATCACAGTATAGGTAAAGTTTAACAAAGAGAAAAAAGGAAATATTGAATAATTCCTAACAATCCTACTAGTTCTGTCTTTGATGATTTTGATGAGCTTGTGGTGCGCAGTTGTTTATGAGTATACATCCATTTGCTTTTATCAATAAATTGGTTTATTAACCACTTGCCCTCCGGACGATTTACCCCCCTTCATAACTGGGCCATTTATTGGTGTACAGTACTGCGCTATTTTGACAATTGCGCAGTCATGCAACGTTGTATATAAATGAAATTTTATATAATTTTTTTTCACACAAATAGAGCTTTCTTTTGGTGGTATTTGATCACCACTAGGTTTTTCATTTTTTTCATGCTATAAATTAACCACTTCCAGTCCGGACACTTCCCCCCCCCCCCCCCCCCCCCTTCCTGTCCAGGCCAATTTTCAGCTTTCAGTGCTATCACACTTTGAATGACAATTGCGCAGTCATGCAACACTGTACCCATATGCATTTTTTAGCATGTTTTTGAGACAGATAAAGCTTTATTTTGGTGGTATTTATTCACCACTGGGATTTTTATTTTTTTTTCTATGTAAATGAAAAAGTCCAAAAATTTTTAAAAAATTCTGCTCCGTGTCTTTGGAAAAAAAAATTCCAATACGTGTAAATTAATTGGTTTACGTGAAAGTTATAGCATCTACAAATGGCGGTATAGATACTATGATTTAAATTTTTTTTCTATAATAGTAATGGCGGCGATCAGCGACTTATAGCGGGACTGCGGTGGGCATTCTGACACTAGCTTTGTAAGCAAGCGTTAGACAGGCGTTTGGGAAGTGTTTTTAAAGCTTCTCAAACGCCTATGAAAATTCTGCACATGGCAGCACACAGTGCTGTTCACACTGAAGTGTTAGGTTCGCATCGCGGCAAAACTGATGTCTCTTGTCGAGTCAGGAGGAGTAGAAGCTTCCCATCCAAGTATGGTGCTACTCCTCAAACGCCTGGCTGGTGTTTGCAAGGAGTTTTTGGAGCGTTAACACCATTTAACTTCATTATAGGAGTTTGTGGTGCGGTTTTAACGCTTGGCAAACGCCTATCAACCGGCTCAAAACTGCACATATGGCATTTGGGGAGCGTTTGAGGATCGTTAAAAACACTTCCCAAACACCTGTCTAACGCTATAGGGGCGTTTGGCAAGAGTTAGACATAAAGTCAAGTGTGAACGAGCCCTAACTGTCACTGACATTCCCAGTGACACCAATACAGGAATCAGTGCTAATATAAAGCACTGACACTGTACTAATGGCACTGGGCAGGAAGGGTTAACATCTGGGGCGATCAAAGGGTTAACTGTGTGCTGTGTGTATTGTACTGTGTAAGCATGCTGTTATGCAGAGCAATACAAAGCAGCATGCTGGTGCTGACAGCGGAGAGATCTGTATTGTTTACACAGGGAAAAAAAAATCCCAGTAAGTGTATCTTAATTGGTTTGCGTGAAAGTTTTAGCGTCCACAAATGGTGGTATGTATACTGTAATACTTTTTTATGTATGTATTTTGTTACTAGTAATGGTGGCAATCATCACTTATAGCGGGACTGTGGCGGGAATTCTGACACTGGGGGGGAACTAACTACCACTGACATTTCCAGTGACACCAATACAGGGATCGGTGCTAATAAAAAGCACTGACACTACTAATGATACTGGGCAGGAAGGGGTTAACATCTGAGGCGATCAAAGGGATAACTGTGTGTTAGAGAGTGATTTAACTGCGTACTGTGTGGTGTTTTACTAGGGGACGTGCCGGTTTTTAGCTCCCTGGTTTGCAGAGAGATAAAAAGCAGCATGTCCTTTCTGACAGGAGAGAGATCTGTGTTATTTACACTCACAGATCTCTATCCCGTCAGCTGTCCAGGCCATGAATTGCTGTGATGGACAACTACAGGAGCCCAATGACAGCATAGGTAGGATGGGGCCTACCCGGAAATGCAGAATCACATATATTTATTATGTGATTCTTCGCAGAGCAGCAAGTGGTTAAAGTAATGCGTTAGGGTGGTGCGCCCTCTCTTTTTTTTGTTTTTGTAGTATTATGATATCGGGGTATCCCCACTCCTATGAAGGCAGCAAACTGTGGCGGAATTATTAAATATTTCCAAACTGTGGCGGTTGTTTTTTGGACGAGCAAGAAGCATTGGGGTCCGAACATCACGTTTTTGCTCAGGAAGTTGTTGCTACTTGTCTAGGGTGCCACCAGTTTCTAGTACAGGAAGGGAAGACAAACCCTTCCTATGAAGCACAGGCTGCACAGGCAGCAAATAAAAATCTTGTTAGGGGCTGTAACCATTTACTGTTCTACTAAATAAGTGTTTTTATTGCAGCCTGTGTCCCTGCAGACACCTTTCCCTTCACTTCTTGTTCTGCTGCTGCCAGGAACAGGAGTGAAAGAAACGTGCCCAACAGGGACACAGAGAAAAGTAAAAACACGACAGGGGTTCCAGCACCCCCTACAATATCCAGAATGGAAAAATAAATAACTTTTGGTGACCAAATGTTCACTGTTAAAGTAGAATTATAGGCAATCATAAATCATAGGCATACTCATAAATCATCAGTAGCACGGCACTATTTGTTTTCTCCCCGTTCTTTCACCTCCATTGAGGGACACAGGAAGCCATAGAGCAGGGGTGTCAAACTGGTGGCCCTCCAGTTGTTGCGAAACTACACGTTCCATCATGCCTCTGCCTTTGAGAGTCATGCTGGTACCTGTCAATCTTGCAATGCCTCATGGGACTTGTAGTTTGGCAACAGCTGTAGGGCCACCAGTTTGACACCCGTGCCATAGAGTGTTGTTGCTGCCACCTACAAGAAGATTGGACAATGAAAAACTGTGGGCCAGCTTGGGATAACCCCTCCTACTCCCAGCATGTTTTTCTTTCCGTTAGTGTCCTAGGAAGCTTGGACAGATTTTCTCCAGATTTGATTTTTTTTTTCTTGGTTTTCAATTGTGTATTCCACTTCCATTCACTTCGCTCAAGATTCCTCACTAATTGTTGAGGCGTTCCGTATGTAGCAGCTCTCCGAATCAGCATCTTCTCAGCCTTTGGAGGCTCTAGCCAGACCACACTGAACTAGACATGCAGGACTAGCCTGGAATGTGACCGTCAGGCACTGGGCTCTGCATTGTGGTTCTTTCCAGACCCGAGGGTACTGGTTACGCTAGCTGCAGAGCTGGGTCCTGGGTCCAGAGTCGTGGCACAGCCCCAGGTGTGACTTTGTGTCTGGAGACTCCGTGAGTAAAGCTGGTCAGCCTAAAGGACTGGGAGTCACCTCACTATTTTTACGATTGGGCACCTTTCTATATTTCCATGACGGCCAGTTTGACCATGGAAAGGGTTAGCCCTCAAGGACTGAGCATTGACACAGTCCGCTTGTTGGAGTATCACATATACGCGATCGACCCTTATTTTCTATCCATTCAGTTTAGAGAAAGCCCAGTTCCGCTGATGATTCTGCTCTGAAAAGCACCACAAGGAGCTCTGGTCTCCAGTCTGTTCTTGCTGCCAGCCATCCGATCCTCATCAGCACAAACTGGATGGTTTTGTAAAGCCGTGACTCACACTCTGGGCCTAGTTACGTATAAACAACATTTCTGTACATAGACACAGCGGGGACAGTCTCGCTGCCATGACTAAACCCAATTCATACTCTCACATCTGTTCTAGTGGCATCTATCATCAGTGGGACTGGGCTCCAACAAG